CGCACGCATTGGGAGGCGGGGCTAAAGTGGGACGAAAAGGATCGACAGCTGACTGTTCTCTGACGGAGCTCTGCTGAATATACTGCCACGAGGAGATGGCGTTCTAATGAGGAGGGAGCTAAAGGAGAAAATCGGATAGAACACAGCTTACAAGCCTCAAAAATATGCTGCATTGGATTTAAAACAAAGAAGTAAAAGTTGTTACAGAACACTCCTGAGTTTTCCCTCGATACAATCTATTCAAAAGCAAGTACATATTTAGTGGGTGATTGGCGGAAATGTATATATATGTGGAATTTCAGCTATCATTGGTATGGAAAATAATTTTTTGTAAAGTGCTAAAATCGTTAAAGAAGAAAGACTATATCTAGAACCTATTCAAGAAAAAGGGTAAAGTGGAATAATTTGTATCCTAAAGCCAGATTAAAGATATTCTGATATATCTGATAAAATTGCAAACAAAAGTTCAGAGAAGGTTGCAATAATCAGAGAAATAGTGTTATACAAGAATTATATTAAAACGGTAAAAGCAAAACGCTATCTCCAAAACCACTACAGAAATGAGTAAATTTGGATAAACTGAATAAAAGCACATAACCAACAGGTGCTGTTAATCCAAGCAAAAGGAAAAGAAAAAAAGGGAAAAGGAAAAAACAAAACAAAACCCTGATATTTAAGCATTAAAGAGAAACCGCTGAAGCCGAAAATCTCTATTTAAAATCAAATTAGAGGTATTAGAAGAGAGAAGGAAAGACAACTTAAAAGTAAAGGGGTAGCTGATTCAAGTTGTGGAACAATATGGCCACAGCTAAGATGGCAAAAAAAAAAAAAGATACTAAAGAGTTAAAAAAAGATGTCAATCAAGGCAAAGGAGTAGCAGATTTTTTTTCTCCTAATTCAAAAAAATTGGATGAACATAATTTACTGGTAGAAGAATCTATAAAGGAAGACAGGAGACTGTCATCGAATTACTTGCAAGAATTTATAAAAAATAGTTTGGAAAACCAAACAGCAGAGTTTAAAAAGGAAATTAATAATAGCACCTACCAACTGAAAACTCATATTGAAGAAATAGGCGAAAAACTATCCAAAATGGAAGAAAAATGGGAATTAATGGAATTTCAACATAAAATACTTATAGAAGCACAAGAAAAAAACAGTAATGAAGTAAAAACTCTTGAACAGAGAATAAATGGATTGGAGGATAAACAAAGAATTAAAAACATCAGAGTCAAAAATATTCCAGAAAGTATCACACAGGAGAACATAACTGAGTATGCACTTGAATTTTTGACAGCTCTGGATGTTAAAATATTGAATAAGGAATATGTTATAGAAAATATATATCGGGTGTGATATTTTACTCCTTGCACGTGAAACAACAAGCAATGCAAGCTAGCAGAATAAAGAGAATTGAAGAAGGAAGATTCAAAGATTTGATAGTCTATCAAGATATCTCTTCATATACAAGATCAAGGAGAAGATTATTTTTCTCTTCTTTGGCTCCGCTCAAACAACAAAATATAAGATATAGGTGGGGCCCTAACGGAACAGTTATATTACTCTGGAAAGACAAAAAAGCAGTATTTCCTGAGCCAAAAGATCTCGAAAAATGGACTAAAGAGCAACTTATTTAACGCTATTGAGAAGTAGAACCATGAGCTGATTTATATATAAATATCGAAGAAGAGCAGAGAATGTATGAAGAAGAAATATAGAAGATTATGAGGACTTTTTTTTCTTCGCTTGAATAACTAACACCAAAGTGATCTATATAATTTATCAAAATAAAAGTTTGGTAATTATTATATAATGTAAGAAAGGAAATGTACAATAATCACGATTAAAGAAATATAATAACACAGGTGCACAATATTTTATTATAGATAAGATTGAGCATAGGATAATAAGGATTATATGAAATCACGAAAAAGAGTCACTATTTGAATAATAATGGTTTATTCACTGACAATAACGATTTAAAGAATTGGGAATAGATAGGAAATAGCGTGAGGAAAGGTAAAACCGGGCCTTTGGCCCCTTGAAATTTATATTATGGTTGTGGTGCATTATATTTTTGGGTATATCTATATTTTTTATTCATATCTCTCATCTGATAAAGAGGAAAGAGCCATGTTTAACTTTTGATATATTAATGTTTCTGTCAGTCCTGATCTTACCATATAAGTCCCGCTTGGAGATCCTTAATGAGATCTCATTTAGTAACATTATGTGAAATAATGTTAAGAGTCACATCAACGGAGGAATGTTTTCTCTTGTAGGAGTGGATAAGAATGGATGGAAATACCCCTATTATTATAGGAATTTCAGTTGTTGGATGAATGTTGTATGGTTGTACTCTGTGAAGGGGGAGGGAACAGGGAGGGAAGGGAGAAGGAAATAGGGAATCACTCTGAAATGCATATCCATGAATATTCAGGGATTAAATACCCTTTACAAAAGAAAACTCTTACAAGAATTACTTAAAAAAGAAAAGATAGAAATAGCTATGATTCAGGAGATGCATTGGAAAAGGGAGGATAAAATAAGATGGAGATATGAACAATATGCAGAGGTTATACATGCATCTTTGGAATGAGAAAAAAAGAGAGGAGTAGCTATTATTTTTTTCTAAAAAGATTAAAAAAGAAATTATACACTTAGAATTGGATGAGGAAGGTAGATATCTAATTTTAGTGTGTAAAATAGAATCAACAATATATAATATTGTAAATGTATATCTGCCTACAAAATACCTTATAAATAAATAATGGATAAGGTTGACAAAGTAAAAATGGGGATTCTAATAATTACAGGGGATTTTAATTGTGTCCCAGATAATTCAGTAGACAAAAAAAAAAAATAAGGATAATGAAAAAATAAATAGACAAATAAAGAAACAATCAAAATTTCTGGGAAATATTATGAGAGAGAGTGGTCTTATGGATATCTGGTGTGTTTTCTATCCCATGGAAAGAGAATATACTCATCTTTCTAGAATTCATCAGTCTCTTTCCAGAATAGATCTGGTCTTAGGAGAGAATTCTTTAGTGGAACAGATCAAAAAAATAGAAATAGTTGAAAATCCATGGGCGGATCATAGTTAGCCTAAAGGATAAAACAATAAAATAAACCCTTCATTACCTGGCGATTGGATGACAATATTATCTTAAAGAGTGAACATCAAAATCAAATAGGAAAACTTATTGAGTTATATTTCAGGGAAAACATAACGGAAGGTATGTCATATTCAGTGATCTGGTGTGCCTTCAAAGCTGTTGTAAGAGGCTATTTGATAAAACTCAAAAGTAGACTAAATAGGTAAAGGGGTGCAACTAGTGAAGAACTTTATATTCAATACTATAGAATCTCTAAAAATATGAAAAACCTCCTTACTAATGAAATAATAATACAATTAAAAGATATCAAAGAAAAAATAAACAAAATAGAAATAGAAAGAATTTACAGAAAGCTAGAAAAAATGAAAGTAAATTATTATCATGATAATAACAAAATTACAAAGTGGACGACTAATAAGTTGAAGAAAAAAAAAACGGCTAAATAGGCCCTTAACAAGCATTAAAAAAAGATCAGACTGAGTATAAGAACCCTGAAGACATAGCAAGAATCTTTAAGAACTACTACGAAGATTTATATAATATTCCTAAATCATTAGGGGAAAAACAAAAATAATTATTTGGAAGATATTACTTTACCAGAAATTCCCAAACAGCTTAATGATAAGTTAAATATGCCTCTTACGAGAATAGAATTTAATACAGCTATTGTAAGATAAGAAAAATATAAAACTCCAGGCCCAGATGGGTTGACAAACCATTTTTATAAAACATATAGTAATTTAATATGTGAACATCTAATTAATGTCTATAACGAGATAGTTGAGAAAGGATCTGGACCCAAAGTTATGCTTTATGCAAATATAATCCCTATCATTAAAAAAGATAAGGACCCCAATGAATTGAAAAACTATCGCCCGATATCTTTAATGTAGATTCTAAATTGTTTTCACCCATTTTGGCTGAAAGAATTAAATCTATTTTGCCTATTCTTATACATGAAGACCAAATCGGCTTTGTTCCCTCCAGACAGGCAAATGCTAATTCCAGGAGATTGATAGACATATTGGATTGGGGGGATAGAACGAGTACGCCTCTCCTGACCCTGTCATTGGACGCAGAGAAGGCCTTTGACATGGTCGGGTGGAGATATATGTTTAAGGTCTTGGAAGCCATGGGTTTCTGTGGATGGATGAGGGCCGCAATTAAATCTATATATCAAGACCCCATGGCCAGAGTAGTTGGCACAGATTTATGTTCCGATATTCTTCTTCTTATATTCTTTTATATACATTTCTTTCCTGAGCACATACATGCCAATATATCTATGGAGATTTTAACCCAGACAGAGGATTTGGAATTCCTATTTTGAAAAGGAAAATATTCAAGGCTTGCAAACTTCAGCAAAAGTGTGAGTGGCCATTTGTGAATATAACTTCTACAATTTGTCATCATACACAGTTATACGCTATGTTGTTTTATTTATGATTGGTTCAGCAGATCATCCCCTTTTTTTGCTTGTGTTGTGTGGAAGACAAGAGGAAGTCTTTTGGGATACTATTGGAAATCTTATCCTATACAGGAAAGTTCCTTTCTGTTGATATAAATTAAGTACTTATTACACTGTGGTGGGTGTTCACACACATTGTTTCTTTCTGTACTTATGTTCCGATTGGTTTGAGCTAAACAATGGCACCCGTCAGGAATGCCCGCTCTCGACAATAATATATATTATCTCCATGGAACCCTTTGCAGCCAGAATTAGATCTAACCGGAACATCAAAGGGATTCCTGTAGCATTAGGAGATCTAAAGGTGTGTTTGTATGCAGATGATACAATAATTACGTTGACGGATCCCTATGCCTCTATTTCCATGGTGGAGATAAATCATTATAGTGAAGTGTCGAATTATAAGATGAACATACAGTATATACTCGAGTATAAGTCTAGTTTTTAAGCACATTTTTTGAGCTTAAAAACACCCACTCGACTTATACTCGAGTCACTGTCTGTTTTATGGCAACTTAGAGAGCCGCGGCCGTCAGAGCCGTGGCAACGATCCGCGCAGCAACCAGACCGCGAGACTTACAGTGTTGCTGACCGGAACGGAGGAGAAGGGAGCTGACAGGAGCTGCAGGAAAGGTAAGTAAATGCTTCCTGCCGGTCCCCCCACTTCACAGCCCATGCCACTGGACCACCAGGGATTAAGATAGCCCCCCTCCCTGACCGGTTAACAAGCAGGGAGGGGGGACAATTTTTTTTTAAACTAAGTAAAAAAATATTAAAATTAAAATAATAAAAATGCCCTCCCCCCACCCAGTTCACACACACTACACAAACACACACTCTTCATTATATACACACTCTGCATTATATACACAGAGTCTGTGTATATAATGCAGAGTATGTGTTTGTATGAGTGTGTGTGTATATAATTATAAAAATCACAGAATTTCATAGCCCCAAGTTTTACCCTCGACTTATCCACGAGGCATAGCATATTTCACAATTGTTGGTTACAAAACTGCACTCGACTTATACATGAGATCGACTTATACACGAGTATATACGGTAGATAAATCAATAGCAATGTTTTCAAAATGTGATTCTGATGTTAAGAGACAAATATTAGAAAAGTACAGCTTTAAGGAGGCTAGGAGAAGCTTTGAGTATTTAGGAGTTATACGGTCAGACAACTTAAACACCATTGTTGAAAAGAATGTCTTTAAACTGATTAAAGTAACAAATCTGGCACTGAAAAAATGGAACAGTACATTTTTGAGTTGGGCTGGAAGAATAAATATAATAAACATGTATATTCTTCCAAACTGGACGTATTTTTAAAAAATGGTCCCTTTAAAGGTACCAGATAGTTGGTTAGAATTAATTCAGAGAACGTTTGGGAACTTTGTATGGAAAGGAAAAAGATCTCGCATTAATTTAGTCCAGCTGACGAGGGCCCCTAGGCAAGGCGGTATGAATTTTCCCAATATCAGAAAGCACTATGAAGCCAGCATGATCCATCATATACAAATTTTAATGAAAAAAGAAGCAATAAATACAGGATGGTATAAACTTGAGACTACATCATTGACTAAGCAGAAACTAAATTGTTATGGCATGAAAAAGGAAATTTAATTCTAAAAGAAATTCAAAATAAAATAATTTGCCAAACTCTTCCGACATGGTTTAAACTGAGGAAGCAAATGAATCATAGGGGCAAGATATATGATTTCATGGAGATAGAGATTTTATAATCCATTATAGAAAATATAAATCTAGATCAATGGAAAGAAAATAATTTTGGAGAGATCGGAAGCATTATGGAGGTTCAGTTAAATCATTCGCCACTTTAAGGCTAGAATATGAACTACCTGTTTGAGAAACATTCAATTATATAAGGGTGAAATCTTTTCTTTCTAAGAATTTTGTGGAGGGGAAGAACAGAGGATCTTTTTGCATCAAACAAATATTTGCTCATGTAAATTCTAGAAAACTATTATCAAAATGTTATATGTTGTCTCGATTAATTCCATATAATATTAATATAAATGCTTTGAACAAAATGTTATATGTTATCAAAATGTTATATGTTGTCTCGATTAATTCCATATAATATTAATATAGTGTAATCTGTCCATAGAAGTGGATAATTGGGGAATCTGTGTAATCTGTCCATAGAAGTGGATAATTGGGGAAAAGCTCTACAAAAACTAAAGAAAAATGTTCATAATATTGTTTTGATTGAAACTTTTTATAAAGTTACCAACAGATGGTATTTAGGACCTACTAGACTAAATAAAATAGATACTAATATCTCAAATATATGTTGGAGATGTTCAAGTGCAGTTGGGAGTTATTTACCGTATTTTTCGCTCCATAAGACGCACTTTTTTTCCCCTCAAAAGTGAGGGGAAATGTCTGTGCGTCTTATGGAGCGAATGTGAAGAATTACTTACCTGTCTTGGAGCGTGGGCCGGCTTCACAGCGCGCTCCGCGGTCCAGGAACTTTTATTTCAGGTTCCGGTTTCCAGCGGGACTGAAAGGAAGTGTGCACACTGAGTGTGCACACTTCCTTTCAGTCCCGCCGGAAACCGGAACCTGAAATATTAGTTCCTGGACCGCGGAGCGCGCTGTGAAGCCGGCCCACGCTCCAAGACAGGCAAGTAATTATTGGACAAGGGGAGGGGAGGAGACACTATGGGACAAGGGGAGGGGAGGAGACACTATGGGACAAGGGGAGGGGAGGAGACACTATGGGACAAGGGGAGGGGAGGAGACACTATGGGACAAGGGGAGGGGAGGAGACACTATGGGACAAGGGGAGGGGAGGAGACACTATGGGACAAGGGGAGGGGGACACTATGGGAGAAAGGGAGGGGAGACACTATGGGACAAGGGGAGGGGGGACACTATGGGACAAGGGGAGGGGGAGACACTATGGGACAAGGGCAGGGGGGGACACTATGGGAGGGAAAGTGCACTATGGGACAATGGGAGGGGGGGACACTATGGGATCAGAGGGGAGGGGGGACACTATGGGACACACACTATGGGACAAGGGCAGGGGGGACACTATGGGAGGGGAGGGAAAGTGCACTATGGGACAATGGGAGGGGGGGACACTATGGGATCAGAACACTAATGGACAAGGGGAGGAGGGGTTAAGAACACTATGGGACAGGGTAGGAGGGGTTAACAATCACTATGGGACAGGGTAGGAGGGGTTAACAATCACTATGGGACAGAGGAAAGGGGGGTTAACAATCACTATGGGACAGAGGAAAGGGGGGTCAAAGATCATTATGGGACAGGGGAGAAAAAAAAATATTCTGAACAAACTGTCCCATGGTAAGAAACACTATGGAACAGTTTGTTCAGAATATTTTTTTTTCTGGGTTTCCTCCTCTAAAAACTAGGTGCGTCTTATGGTGAGGTGCGTCTTATGGAGCGAAAAATACGGTACATATCTGGTGGAACTGTCCAAAAATTAAACAAATTTGGGATC